AAGTTGTTGTTACTAGCACAAGAATAGGCCTGAAGATGAATGGAATAGAATCAAAGACCCAGAAATGAACCCACAGACAGACCTATAGCAACCTATCATTTGATAAGAATGTCAAAAACACAGGATTGAAGAAAGACCATCATTTCAACAAATGGTGCTGGTAGAATTGGCTATATACATTTAGAAAACTGAGCTAGACTTACATGTCACCCTGCAAAGAATGTGAGACCAGATGCCTCTATACTACAAGAAAGGATATTGAAAGCACTGGGGCTCCTAGGCGTATGTCAAAACTTTCTAAATAAAGACCCAAAATTACAACTGATCAAAGACGGACTGGATAAATGGGATTCAGCAAATCAAAGAGATTCTGCAAAAGACACAGCTAGCAAGGTAAATATAGAAAGCCTACAGAATGAGAAACAATCTTTACCAGCTATGTATCAGGAAAGGGCTTCATATGTAAAATGCACTTAGAGCTCAAAATATTAATCTCTCAAAAAGAAATCCTCGGGGGAGATGGGAAGGGGTTGGAAGGGGAAAGAAAGGAGGAGGCAACAATGCTTGATAAGAAACATATTCATTATATCTTGACCATGTAATTGTAACCCCTCTGTACGGTATTTTCACAATAAAAAAATTTGAAAAAAAGAAACCCTCCAAGAAACAACTACCCCACAGTAAGTGGACTACAGACTTAAAGACAGACTTCTCAGAAGTAAGTATGGCCAATACACACATGAAGAAATGTCCAACATCTCTGAAGAAAAAAGAAATGGAAATCAAAACAACATTGAGATTCTACCTCACCCCAGGTGGAATAACCATTATGAAGAAAACTAACAATAACAGATGTTAGTGGGGATGTGGCTAAAATGGAATGTTACTATACTATTGGTGGGAATATAAACTTGTTCAACCACCCTGGAAAGCAATATGGAGGTTCCTCAAAATACTAATCATAGAGCTCCTCCAGGACCCAGCAATCCAGGTCCTGGTAATTTATCCAATAGATCACAAACACTAAAACTACCAGTACATCTATGTTCATTGCAGCATTGTTACCATAGCCAAGACACAGAATCAACCCAAATGCCCTTCAATAGATGAATTGAACAAGAAAAGGTGATACATATATACATACATACATACATACACACACACAGACACAATGGTATTCTATGCTTCCATCAGAAAGAATGACATTTCCCTATTCATAAAGTAATGCAAAAATGTGGAAAAAATTATCTTAAGTGAAATAAGCCAGACTCAGAGAAACATATGTTGCATGGTTTCCCTTATGTGTAATAATTAGAATGTTCTTATAAGTCCACAAGTAAACATGATGGTAAAAGACAAAAAAAAGTTACACTTAGATATGATAAATTATACAGGACTCTAAACATTCACACAGTGAGACCAAAGGGAGAGGATCATATAGCTATGTCCATATAGTCATATAAAATGATGTTTAGTGAAATGCACTCCAAGAAATAGATACAATTATTGCTTTACTTTTTTCTCCCTTTGTCACTAGTTTTATTTCTATACATTTTACCTTGTATGTAAGTTTATCTGTTTTGAGGAGGGTAAGAGGAAACATAGAAATGTTGGGACAATGGGTAAACTAATGCAGCAGTGGTACTCACTAGATGCTGTGTTGAAAATGAACTATACAAATTGTGGGGTTGGGGATCAGGAGGAGAAAATGAGGGAAGAGTGACACTGTTAAAAAAAAAAAAGAAATGTATTCATTACCTGACTTACATAACTGTAACCCCTCTATACATCACCTATACAATAAAAATAAATTAATTAAAAATAATTCAAAAAAGATAAAAATACTTCATGCTGATCTAATGTTGATAGGGAAGGGAGAAGAGCACATGCAGTATCTTAGCCTCAGGACCAACAGCCACTCTCAAAGGAACCCAACTGAAATGTGGTGCATATGCTAAATTTTTGTAATCTTGCTCTCCCCTAGCAATAACAGCCTACCAAATAGTTCCTATAGACCCACTTATAGAACAATGGAAGTCTCTCTTAATCTGAGGAGATCATTGGCCACAGAAGAAGACCAAACACTTTCTTGTAAAGGACAAACTTTGCTGAGGCTGAAGGAAATTATCCCGTGTAATCTTTCTTTATGACCATGAAAAGGCAACACTACCTCAGTGATCAAACTTAATTTCTCTCATCCATATCCAATAATTAGCAGGAGACTATCCTTTAACATCTAGTAAATTATTGTCTTCCACTATGGTTCAATTAATGTAGATGTCAAGGGTATATCTAAGAGCTGTCTACTTAATCAGTAGCTCAGAGTTGACATTGTTACTTTGGAATGAGAAATTTCTATGAAGATACATATTAATCCTTCAAGGCTAGAGCCACATTAACTTATCTAAATGCATTTATTATACTTTCTCCAATAAATGACCCATCTCTGGCTCAACTTTTTTCAGAAATCTGTTGTCCACCCTTTCCACTGGGAAATGTAAGCACGGAAGACCCAATTCAAGCATCTCCTCCAGAAGACCCTTCTCTGACTGAAACCTAAAGCAGAGTTTATTCTTCTCTTCTTTTTCTAATAGTCTGGACACACAGATCTCTCTGGTTGCCTTATTTTGCTGTCATACAGCACTATGACTCAGGTGACTGAAGGCAGGGACTGTTTCTTTTGTGAACAAGACCCATATACTGCCCATCCGGGAGGCATTTGTTAAGTACACAATACTTCCTTGTCATCCTTATGCTCATTTTCACTATATCAGGACCCTGAAGCCAATCATAATCTGATAATAGTAAATGAAGAATTCAGCCATAAATAATTAGTAAGCTGTAAAGTGTACACCATGCTGAGTAGCATGATAAAATCAGTGACCTCACCTCTGTTGTCCCATCCAGGACAACTGTAATCACTGTCCAGTGTGTCCATGTGAAGTAAGGAAACTGGGTCTCAGTAATATGCCTTGTCCTTACTGCCATGTTGGTGCCTTGCTGGGTGGAGCAGGCTTTCTACACAGCTCTGAAAAACTCTAGAGGTAATAGAGGACATTTTTGGATCACAAATGTGTCCTGAGTTGTTAAGCTCCAGGAAAGTCTTACTTCCCTCAAATAATTGCCTCTAGATTTCCTCTGATATTTTTCCTTAGATTTGCTTAGATTTAAAACCTTTATTAGATTTAAGTGGTCATATGGTTTTCTTTGCTTATGGAGAACAATTTTGTTAGGATAAATTCCTTACACCTTAGATGATTTTGACATATATAAGCTTTTTGCTAGCTGGCTGCTGGTCTTTAAGTCCACCAGCAGTCCACTGGTTCTCCAGAGCCAAATTCCGGAGTCAAATGCCAACAGAGCTTCATTCCTATGGATAACTTTTTTTGTAGACAGCATTTCATGCTCTAAAAGTCATGAACTTTCTACTGTCATTTTCTTAGTGTGGAGATAACAAGTGTTGTCGAACTTGCTTGGCTTCCTCTGCTGGTAAAGTTTAATAGAGTTTCTATTGTCTTTACTAGTGCTCTGGTTACAAATGATTTATTTTGATCTTCTCACTTTGGTAATATCCTCAAAAGTTAGGGTGCATGTTTTAAGGGAGCCACAAGGCTTTTCTTAGCACATAACAGAGGAGGTTTCTGAACTTTTAAATTACTTGTGTCATGTCAAATACATTCACAAATGTTTTCTCTTTTCTGTGGTCCCTAGACATGGCACACACATGAAAGACTTTTAGATCAGGAGGCATGTTTTGAAATCATTTATGAACAACATTTCTCATAGTGATTTTTACTAAATCCTGTGACTGTTAAAGTAGGAACACAAACTGGAAGAAAAGTCATTGCTTCCTTTTCAAGCTTGGTTCTGTCCAAAGAAAAGAAAGCATATGTTGGACTTAAATGTGCGTGAGAATCTGGTGCAATGACATGGGAGGTAGAGATTGGGAGTATCATGAATTGAGGTAGCATAGGTAGAATTAGTGAGACCTCATCTCAAAAAACAAGCAGAGTGGAAGTGTTGTGGTTTACTCCTGTCATGTATTATGCTATAGGCATTGGTGAGATCACAATATGAGATTGTCCATAGCAAATATATCATACTCTATCTGAAAAATAAACTACAAGGAGCTGGAAGTGTGGTTCAAGTGATAGAGTACTTACTTAGCAATCTTTAGGTCGTGAGTTCAAATCATTGTACAACCTCCCAAAAAGGACACATGAATATATGACATCATGTATTCATTCTTGTTGATAATAATTTGTATGTCCTGAATTACCCATGCAACAAGAATGATTTGAAGCCTAATGCATTAATTTGGATCATAAGCCTACATTTTAAAGTACCATAAATATAACTAGGCAATGGTGGTTCATACCTTTAATATAAGCTATTCAGGAAACCAAGTTCTTAAGATCACAATTTGAAGCCAAACCAGACATAATTTTATGTCCATTTTCAATTTTTAATAGTGTTTCCAACTTTTAAAAGTTGCCTGATAATTTTTGTCTTCACAAAACATAAATATTTCTCTATGAATTATAATATTGAACCCTGGAATAACATAAAAAATAAAGTTCACTGAAATGGTGCCTATACTGTGTATACTTTTTGTCATAAGAGGGCACTGTTGGCTATAAAGGAAATAGCTTTTCTGTAGATTAAAATTAACCTTCCTACTCTGCAGCTAAAGGAGGAGTTCTGACTAAACATTTGTTTATTCAGAATCATAAACTCAGGTGTCAGAAATATGTACATTTTCAATAGATTATTTCTTCCTAATAGCACTTTCTATGTTCTAAGAAAACATCAGAATCACACTCTCCCTCTCCCCCTCCACTCCATGAAGACACTCAGCTAGGTGTGGGGGATGGGCTTCCTGCACAGAGGCTGTAAAGGAACTCAGCTGATTGGTTGCAGTAGAAGGAACAGTGCCAGAGTCAAGCCCTGACACACCTGGCCCAGTTGAATTATATATACCTATCTCACATAACCAGACAGGCAACATGAAAGGGCTATTGAGCACTCTGTTGGGACTTTTGTCAGTCCAGATATGCTGTGAGTTGGGCTGTCCCACATCTAGGGTACACAGAGGGTTTCTCAGCTGTAGCATGTGGAGGAGAAGCAGGAAGATGTGTCCTTCTCATTCATAATCTATGGCAGCACTTTCAGAACTCTGCAGTTGTGGTAATGACGATCACATAAATGATCATTTCTCTCTTTTATTCAGGTGTAAGAGGAAATCAGGTTGAGCAGAGTCCTCCAGCCTTGCTTCTCCAGGAGGGAGAGAACTCCACGCTGCAGTGCAACTTTTCTAGCACAGTAACCATTGTGCAGTGGTTTCAGCAACATCCAAGAGGAGGCCTCATCGGCCTGTTTTACCTTGCTTCAGGAACAAAGCACAATGGGAGACTCGTAGCCACGATAGACACCAGGGAACGCAGCAGCTTGCTGTACATCTCCTCTGCCCAGAATACAGACTCTGCCACTTACTTCTGTGCTGTGAGAGACACAGTACTCCCTAGGCACCTGCAGCCTCTACACAAACCCTCAGCCTGGTGTAGCCCCTTTAAACAGTTTCATGTCTCTTTCCTACATTGGCAGTTTCACCCACAGTTGCTCCATGGGTTTGGTCTTTTCTTCCCTTCTCAGTCTATACCTCATCTTTCACTACAAATAACTTACATGGAATGAGCCAAGTGGCTGATACAAGATGGTATCAAAATAAATTAACTGCAGTGTGTTGGATCCCCACAGGACAAAATGTAAGAGCAATAAAAAGAAAAAAAAAGTTGGGATAAAGATGTTATTGACAGCAGTGCAGCTTAGTTTAGCATTTCCAGAACATTCGGGCATTTTCACTCTAAGTCAGCTTAAGTCTTCACAGGCCTAAGCTCCGCAGATGAGGCACCACCCACCTTCAACCACAGGTAACACCTCCAGCCCCCAACTGTATATAAAGGGTCCTCCAAGGAGCCAGATGACGCCATCTTCTCCCTTCCCTCAAGACAACTTAGCCTTGTTTGCTCTATTGGCAATAAATCTTTTCCTCTATGTGACTTTTGTCCCAGTGGTCTTTTGGATACTTTCTGCTTGGGTTATTTTTCCTTTCATTCACCACATGCCCCAGGGGCAAAGGCCATTCTCCATTTCTTGCAGCCTAAAATATCAGTGAAGCAGAAATAGGACAATGTCTGAGGAGAGGGTCCACATGTATGTTGCATTCATCTAATTCCCATTCATGCTTTTGTGTCTTGAATGGTCTGCTTACACTATAGCGGGTTTCTTGCTCAATTGAAATGGATGTGTCTTCTCCTGTTGGGTGGAGATGTGTCAGAGTTACTTGCTTTATAGTGTTGCTGTTAATCTACTAAGTTGTCCTAGCTTTTACTGAAGGCAAAGTATTAAACTCCCAAATATTATTGTTGAAATCTATTTCCCCCTGTATTTCTGAAAGCTATAAGTATTATATGTTTCTAATGTATTGACTTTTTATTATTAAAAGTAGTCCTTAACTTTGGATTGCTTATTTGGTTAAAATTTATTTTATCAAATAATGTTATGGCAATTCCATCTTTCAAGCTGTATGTGCACGATACATTTTCCATCCTTTATCTTATTTCTGTTTGCTTGATTTGGATATTAAATGTTTCCATAACTTGTAAATTTGAATTTAGTAAAAAAATTTAAATGCGCTTTCTTAAAAAGTACTGCTTTAGAGTCTGAAAATGCTGTCTAAATGAATGTAAGTTGAAAGTTTTTTTTTTTTTTGGTCTGGTCGTGGGGCCTGAACTCTGGGCCTGGGTGCTGTCCCTCAGCTCATCAGGTCAAGGCTAGTGCTCTACCACTTGAGCCACAGCACCACTTCTGGCTTTTTTCTTTTTGCTTATGTGGTGCTGAGGAATCGAACCCAGGGCCTCAGGCATGCAAGCCAAGCGCTCTACCATTGAGCCACCTTCCCAGCCTATGTTGAAAGTATTTAAAAGTTGAACCTGCTGTTCATTTTTATTTGCTAGATATGGATGGTCACTTGATTTCTTTAAGTCATTTTTTCTTTTTTCATTAAAATGTTTCTTACCTAACTGAAAATTGTTGAATGTATATATGTAAGATTATTTCTTTACTACCTACTTTTTCTATACTGATACAACATCTACATTAGCCTATGTGTCACATTTTCACCAACACCATCTGTTTCACTGTTCTTTCTAGTAGATCCTGATAGGGTGAGTTCTCCATATTAATCCTTTTAAAATTTCTTTTCATTATATGAACATCTTTTCATGATGTGAGTCACTATATCTACGTAAGCAAAAGTAGGTCTGCTCCTCATGTGAGCAGCATTACGTAATGTACAATTTGTGTGAATTAAAGCTAATAGTTTTATTTTCCAGTTTATTGAAGTTTCTTTATTTTTTAGCATTACTTTCAACTTTTCTGTACAGTAATTTGTAAATCTTTAAGGAAATAAGATAAACCATTAGCAAGGATAAAATCTATGGAGAACGTAAGTTGTGAAATGATTGTTTTTACAGAACATATATAGAGCTTTACAACTCAATAAAAGAGAAAAAATTTAAGGTGAGAAATATTATTGAGCAGACTGTTCACCAAAAAATTATAGGAATGACCAAATCACAGATGAAAAGATTCTCTACATCAGAACCTAAAAGGCAAAGCAATCTTGTCTATACACACCATCTTCTATACCACTTGAGGAATGACTTCAGCAAAAGCAATGTTATTTGCCTCATTCTTCAGACATCCTTGACACAAAACAAGATAATGTGAACAAGGAGGCAATGTGGGAGCTGGTGGGATTGTGAGTCAACAGGGAGATCAAGGGCAATGCCTGAGAGGTTCTGAGTGCCTGGAACTGGAAATCTGCAAATACTTGACATAGTTACTGAATCACAATTACATTACAAATCTTCTGCATGACTTCTACAAGCTAAACCACGCAGGAAAGTAGGTGCAGACAGAACTCAAGGTGACCAACAGGTGATGTGGTAGCTGTATACAGTCCTAGTTATGGGGAAACAGTGTATAGCTACCACATCACTTATTTGTCACTTTGAGTTCTGTCTTCACCTACTTTAATTCCAAGTTCAAATAAAGCCATTAGTACAATCATACTTCTTCCTAATATGATACAGTACTCTTCATTCAAACACAAACTCCCTAACCCTCTTCCACAAATAGGATGATGAGCTCATTTCCCAAATATGAGATATATTTCTTACATTTCTAGATGATTCACACTCTCTACTGAAATCCTATAGTTTAACTACTGAGTTATGAAGTATAACATTACATCATGTCCCATCTTCCTGGTATTAATTTTGCTAAATTGTTAATAGTTCAAAAAGTTTAAAGAATATTCACTGTACACATATGAAAAAAGAAGTGGGAAATATGAGATGAGGCTGGAGAAAGGATACATTCATAATGCCAAAAGTTGTGATCCCAATCTGGACATTTTCACTTACATGACATGGTAAATTCTAAGCCCCTTGTACAATCTTGTTCTTAATTTAAATTTAAATATTATTGTAAATGTTATGTACAGATGGGCTACAGTTACATAAATAAGGTAGTGAGTACAGTTCTTTTTGAACACTGTGACCCAGCCCTCATTTTCTCCCACTTTCCCCCTTTCCCTACCTCCTTTCCCATAAGTTGTAAGGTTATTTCTAACATAGTGTCTAATAAGTATAGCTTTGAATTGGTTCACCCTTTGTCACACTGTTTCTGTGATGCCCTTCCCTTCCCCAAATCAGATAAACTTATATACAAGACAAAGGGTACTGAAATAAAAAAACAATGACAATGAAAAAAAGAAAGAAAAAAAAGAAAGGAAGGAAGGAAGGAAGGAAGAAAGAAAGAAAGAAAGAAAGAAAGGAAGGAAGGAAGGAAGGAAGAAAGAAAGAAAGGAAGGAAGTACTGAAAACAGTAAATAAAAAAGTTCTGTTTCCATTTCTTGGAGTTCATTTTGATAAGCATCATTTTATATGGTCATATGCACATAGCCATTGTGGTCCTTTCCTAAGAATATCCTCCTTTGTTCTCACTGTGCCATACTTCAAGTTATGTTTAATTAATCATGTCCAAGTGTAATTGTCTTTTACTACACATTGGATTAACGGGGGAAACCAAACATTCTATGTTTCTTTGGATCTGTCTTACTTCACTTAATATACTTTTTTCCAAGTCCATCATTTCCTTACAAATGGGCCACATCATTCTTTCTTATGGAAACATAGAATTCCATTGTGTATATATATATATATATATATATATCTCATTTTCTTGATCCGTTCATCCAGTGAGGGGCATCTGGGTTAATTCCATATCTTGATTATGGTAAATAATGTTGCAATGAACATGCTTGTGCTGGTGGCATTAGTGCAGGCTGGTTTGTGATCATTTGTGTAAATGCCAAGGAGTGGGATTGCTAGGCCCTAGGGAAGCTGTATGTTGAGCCTTTTCAGGAACATCCATACTGCTTCATCCATACTGCTTCATCCATACTTCAAACAAGTTTAAAATCTCATTTAATTAAGTTCTCATAAATCATGGCCACATCCATGTCATCAACTGTTATTATTAGTTTTCTTGATAATGGCCATTCTAACTGGGATGACATGGAATTGTTTTGATTTGCATTTCTTTTATGGTAAGAGGTGTTGAATATTTCTTCATGTGTCTATTGGCCATTCTTATTTCTTCTTTAGGAAGTATCTCTTTAAGTCTTAAGCCCACTTATTGATGGGAATTGTTGTTTCTTTAAGGATATTTTTGAGGGAGTTAATTTTTTGAGCTCTCTAAGTAAATTTTATAGATGAGACCTTTGTCTGATGTATGGCTAGTAAATATCTTCTCCCAACCTGTGGGCTTTCTATTTATCCTGCTATCTATCTCCTTTGCCATGCAGAAACTCTTCAGTTTAATGCAATCACATTTATCCAGCCTTTCTTTTATTTGTTGTGTTTCTGGTTCTTTACTTGCAAAATAAAGACGTTTTGACCTGTTCCAAGGAGCCTTAGTGTTTTTCTTATCCCTTCCGTTAATAATTTCAGGGTATTTGGCCTTACATTGAGGTCTTTAATTGATTTGTGATTGATTATGGTGTAGGGTCATACATCCTGAAAGGATGTCAGTTTGGAGTAGTTAGGACATTTTGAATAAACTCTGAGAGTTAATTATATGTAACTTATATGATAGAAATCTAGAGTCTAGAATCTAGAAATCTAGAGTGTCATTGTGATTTGTCCAGAGAATAATCTTATTCATAGAAAGTCTATTATGTTTCATTTACTTGATTTTTCTCACTATAAACTGTAAAATATCAGGAAGAATATTTAAATACCTTACAAAGCTTTCATACCAATAAGTCATGGCTGACATTTTGTTCTATATTAATATATTATTCAAATAGGTTCACACATTCTGATACTTTTATTTATTTCCTCTTAATATATTTTAACATAGCATTTTACAATTGTCCAATCTTATAAACTTAAATTTTAATGATTGTAAGAATGATTTTCCAAGTCACAATTTAATCTCTTATATTCATCATCTTGTGTTTGCATGGAAGACCTTTTTTTTCCTGAAGTTAGATGTGGCCCTTTACCTACATGATTAGCTTCTTAAATAGGCTGTTTTACATTTCTTCTGGTATAGGACAATGCGCTTCATTGTGCATGTGCCGTCTCATCATTCTTGAGATGTTGAGTCTTTTTATTCTTATACTTTTAGTATTTCATAATATTTATAAAGGTATATTTTTTGAAGTATTGATTTTTGAACTCAGGGACTTTCACCTGCTAAGTAAGCCCTCTAACTGCTTGAGCCACACTCCCAACCCTAATGAAAGTAGATTTTATATTGACAACACTGTAATCTGAGGTTTCTCATATCACTGATGGACACAGATTTATTAAACATTCTTTCAAGGCAGACAGGGAGGTCATAGCTCCCTTCCAAAGGTCAACACATCAGATGCTGGTAGGGATGGTCCCTTACTCATGTTAATACCACAGCTATGGCAGTGACACTCACTGGATGATCTCCCAGAGCAGTCTTCTCCATGCTGGAATATCCAGTTACTTCTGCCTCCTGTGTGACAGCTTCAGCATAATAGGGAGAGAGAGAGCACGCAGTGACTGAGCACAGCTGGTTTCTCTCCTTATGCAAGATAGTAATGCTGCTTGATGTCATTTTAATAGCATATAAGCAAACTGTATTGTTTCCAGGACAAAAGTTTTGTAGGAAAGCAGATATTTCTTTTCTGAACTTTTTATAGAGAATATTTTACAGAAAAAAATCAAAAGCCATCTTTAAAGAAACTACAAGTTTCCTCACATCCTTGTGAACTGATGATTTTTCCCTTTTCTTTCTATCTGTATTTTCTGCATTCCCTAAATAAACTGTTTGCATTCAGTCACTTTTCCAGTGTTGGTATCTAGAAAAATCCGGGGTAAGAGATGATGTAATATTGGTCCTACGAAACACATACACAGATTGTGATTCTAGAACTTAATGGTCCATAACAGCAGGATCTCAATATTAGAAGGAAGTGAAGGGTACTGAAAGCGTACAGTATCA